AATTGGAAAGTCAGAGTGTAAAGGAGCTGTGCAGGACTTGGGATTTTCCACCCTAGCAAGCAGCTGGGGCTCTTGGAAGCCCTGGGTGCAGTGCTCAGCATCGGCCCCACTGCCTGCATGTGGCATCATAGAATCAACTAGACCAGGTTGCTCAAAGCCTCATCCAGCTTGGCTTTGAACACTTCCAGGGATGGGCCATCCACAGCTTCTCTGGGCAACCTGTGCCAGTGCCTCACCACCCTCTCCATGAAGAACTTCTTCCTGATATCCAATCTAAACCTCCCCGCTTTCAATTTAAACCCATTTCCCCTTGTCCTGTCACTACAGGCCCTTGTAAAAAGTCCTCCCCAGCTTCCTTGTAGCCCCTTCAGGTACTGGAAGGTGCTGTAAGGGTGCCACTTGCCTGCGGTTCGGGTAGCCCTGTCTGCCTGGCCTCTGGCAAGGGATGCGAAGTGCAGGAGAGCAAGCCTCCGCCTGGAGGGGCGAGCTGGCAGGTCTGTGGTGGTCCTGCGGTGGTCCTGCTCACCTCCCATGTCTCTCCTCGTCAGCGGTCGCAAACAAAAGGAGTCTTTTTGGAAGCCTGCCTTGCGCCCAGCACTGTGCAGTTACTGACTTGCTCTGCGTGCTTTATGGTGCTTTTGAGATTTGTTAGCTTAACGAGTAACTCCCAAAATATTTAGGGACAAGAGAAGTGTGGTTTGACAGGAATGCGAACTAACTGGAAACACGAATAGTTGTCGCTACAGGAACAAAACCAGTTAACTAGTACATAGAGCTCTTCAAAGGTCACGGGGATCTCCGAGAGGCAAAACTGCAATGACAGCATTTCAAGTCATTAATTCATAGCTGATTAATCATTATAATATATGAAAGGTGCTGTCTAACTTAATCTTCTTCTCCCCTGGACACGTTTGTGCCACCTTTGACAAAGGGGAGTACAAACACACTCTGTTTTACCTGATTATCTAGAAACTGCCTGAATCTTTGGGGTGGATCCCAGACTCTTCTTCGGCCAAGCGGTGACTGAGTTTGGTGGGCCTGAGGGACTTGCGTTTAAGACGGGATGATTCCCAGCATTATGGCATGCTTGAAATGATCCCGCTCAAGCAGGAGAGTTGCTGCGTGGTTGCTTGGGAGCCACTGGGAGCCCTGGGGTCTTCTGGGAGAAGCTGTTGGCGTCTTCCTAGAAATAGTTTTATCTGCAGTAGACTCTGCTTTTCTTGGAAATGCATCCTTCCCTCCTGCAGCTTCGGTGCCTTGCCCGTCGCTTCAAGTAGAAGAGGGAAGACATGTCCAAGGCTAAGGAGGGCAGTGGCAATCCTGGGGCAGGAGAGCAGACTGGATGGGACAAGAGATGATGTTCAGCCCCCCTGCCATCAGGTATGGGGGGATGAACATCTGAGGGTGGGAAGGCAACAGAAAGTCCCTTTGCCGGCTTATGAACCCTGCGCGGCTGCCTGGAGGTTTCTGGGTGTGGAAGTGCAAGTCCTGGCGTGTGCGCTGAGGGAACAGGGAAGCTGTCACGGGAAGATGGATCGGAGCAGACGTGCTCAGGCGTGGGTGTGCGTCACCCGGCTGTCCGAGCGGTGCCGAGACGTGGCTTCCTCACATATCAAGATACACCTTGTTTCGTTCTCTTTCCCCACGCCACCACCTTACTTGTTTCCCTAGGTTTTTTTAGCTTCCAGTGTTGCTCGCAGGGCGAGAGAGCTTCCATACTGTCCCCTGTTGGGAACTCCTCAACAGTGCAGCCGTCGAGTCAGAATTTAGTGCACGGTAATGGCATTCACAACCTGAGTTTTCTAAGGCAGCATCAGCGGTGACACAGATTCATCACCGGCGTATCATCATTAAAAGGCAGTGGAATTGCATCGGGGATTGATGTGATTGTATGCACGTAAAGATCAAGATGCAAAAAGGTGTGATTTATGTAATAGAAGCATAAGCAGTAATCCAGACCCCCTTCCCACATGTGGTGTGGCTGTTCCTGTTCCCAGAGCAGTGATGGCTTTTAAATTTACTGGGCAAATGTGTGTATTTATATGTTTTTATTTAAGTCTTTTAAACATAGTGTTGTCGTAATCTTCTCTCTTTCTTTTGCGTTGAGTTATAGTTGTAGTTGAATCTGCTTAATAGTTCAACATTATTGAAATTCTTTATATTTTTGGAGCCTGGGTGTTATATGTCAGCACTTTATTGTGTTATCTTACAGGGAATATAGAAACCCTGCTGTGTCTGATGCAGGCTTAGCAAAGACAAATGTAGAAAATATAAAAAGTATACCTAAAGTGAGAAGATAAAGGTTATTCTGGTTTTATCATTATTATAAAGGCTATGAGAACAGTAGAAAAAAGGTCGCAGTGGACAAAAACTGTTCTAAGTTCTCAGGACATGTTAATTCTCTCCTTCTCACTCTTCAGTGATTTGTGCCCAAAAATAAGGAGGGCAGAGCTGGCCCAGTGCGGAGATGTGCAGTGACCAGCAGCTGTGCCTCAGTGGCCTGTGGAAGGGAAAGCACTCCAGGTACAGCTGCAGTGGAATCTATGCTGGGATAGCACGGGAGCATGGCGTGGCTCCTGCCAGAGTTACCTCCTGCTCTCTGGGAAGCTCTTGGCAGCTGCTCCGAAGCCTGGCCTAAATAACGTGTTTGTCTTCCACGAGGAACTAAAAGCTGTTGAGATAAGTCGCTGCTGAGGCCGCCTGTTTGGCAAATTTGTCAATCGGCTCATCGAGCTATAAGTAAATGGGTGTTGTTACAAAGGCTCCTGGCTCTCTGCGGTTGTGTAGGAGTTTACGTCGTTTTTGAAGGAGCTCTTTTATCTCCCAAGTACAGCGGGGAGTAGGATTTACTTCCTTTTCAGTCCAGCTTTCTTGGCCTCCTTTGAGTCACGTTACTCCCGACACCAGAATTGATGGTGTTTGAGGTTAGGCTTTAATCCGGTGGGGTGCTCAGCATCCCAGCCCTGATCCAGCAAAGCACATCGTTGTCCTTGGTGCGGCTCTGTTCACACAGTTAAGGTCAAGTTCATCCTTAAAGTATCTGCTGAATTGGGGTCAGAGTTCTCTCAGTTGCAAAGTCATCCCTTAAGTGAGAAAACCAGAGCTGTTCATCACATGGAGTGTGTGTCTAATGGCCTCATGGAGGAGCAACAATATTCACTGCGTCTACCCTGTCTTCTGTTACACATACTCCGTTATTTCTGCAGATGCCCCTGGCTGTCCTGCTTTCCCACCCCACTGTTTTCCCATGTCACTCTTAATTTTCTCTCAGAAAGGACACCCAGGGGAAAATGAATCCAACTGTGTCATCCGTTCTTGAACAGGCGCTGTAGGTGAGACTGGTTCGAAACCTCTTCTTCCACCTGAAACATTCACCATTTTCCTGCTCTTTGCAATCGTTTGGGGTTCACAGGCCTGTAGGAAGCAACCACAGAAGACGGGGAGATGGGCCTGAGAAACTCGCAGGGAAAAGAGCTGGCATGGAGGTGGCCGTGGGCATCTGCCCACTTTGCTGTGCCGAGCTCCCTGCGGCAGGGATAGGTGTGCTTTTCGGGACAGGACAGTACAAATGAGAGTTGGCAGAAGTTTGCCCATCAGAGATCCCCAGCTCTCCTCCTGTGTGCCAAACCCACCAGCTGTGCCCGCAGAGTTCAGGCCGCTGGTTCAAATCTCATGAGGTTTTGAGCACGCGTGCATGTTAGGATTGGGTTTTATTTGTCCAGCAGCATTTAGTCTTTGGGGTGTTTAATATTGATGCGGAGTCTTTGGGGAGAGGGATTGATTTTGCTTGGCTTTGTTGTATAGCCTTATGCATCTGGTTACGCTTAAGACGTTAGCTTTAGCGAACAACAAGCCTCTTGATAAAATTCACAAGTACTGGCAATACTGCGGACATCTACTTATCTCCTGGGCACGTTTTGTAAAATTGAGCTATTTTCATTAAAAGAACAAAGAGCAGCGCGGTGATGGAGCAGCTGTCATATTTTATTGCAAAACACAAATATGTGGGAAATCAGTTACAGCACGAGTGCCGCACAATGCATATTTCCAGTAATCCCCCACGGCCGGAGGAAGGTAGAAGGCTGATCTGAGCACAGGAGCAGATGGCAAGCAACTTTAGATAGCTTCACTGCCATTTTTACTCTTTCAAGTGTTTGTGCTTCTCCTTTGATCTTCAGATCCTGAGTTCGATGTGTTTCATCTTCTTTCATTTACTGTTTTCAACTTTAACTTTCCCTTTAAATAAGTTTTGCTTGGTGGAGTTTGTATTAGTGTGGGTTTTATTGTCTTCCATTCTGTGAAATATAAGAAGAGAGACAGTTGCTGTCTTTCTTTAGTGTTGTTCACATCCAGTAAAATACCGACTGCATCGCTGCAGAGGACTTCGCCGTTGCCCATGCATAGCTGTAATGATACAATAAAAACTCCCCCCTCCCAAAGTTACTGAGACACTTACACTGCATGTGAAGTTGCAGTAGACTTTCTTGGAAGGTGGGTACTACAGGAGTGTGATGGCACATCCACAACAAGCACCTATGAAAGTTTGGTTTTACCATTATCCCATTTAATTTAATTCTTACAGTTGGGTAATGAAGCTTGCGTTAGCTTGCTTGGGTATAGCGTTTGTATCTACACTTAATGTGTGTTTACAATAAAAGCACTTTGCAGTGTTTTGATGTAGAGTGGCAAGAGCAACATGGGGTGATCTGAATAGCCACGTGTAATCTGTGTCTCTGCTTTTTCTGTAGCTGTCAGAAATGATAGGAACAAAAAGAAGAAGGAACCTTCCAAGCAGGAGTCCACAGAAAACTATGAAATGACAGCAGAGTTGGATGATCTCACTGAGAAGATCCGAAAAGCTCACCAGGAAACCTTCCCCTCGCTCTGCCAGCTGGGAAAATACACTACAGTGAGTACGGTTTGTTCGGGATATGTTCTGGATCCATGTTCTGGATATGCCTGGATGGTGGGAGCTTTGCGTTGGAGGCTCCAGACGTTTTACAGATGCTGAAGTAGATGCCCCCCTCGCACCTCCGTAGCCACGAAGAAGGCAGGTATGCATGCAAACACGTGGTGGGGAAGAGAAATTGCACTTAGCTGTAAGGATTGCTTAGCCATACGGTGAGAGGCTGTCTGAAAGATTAATCTGGCCAAGAGACAAGCTCGGCAGCCATGAGTCAATTACATGCCATCATGCATTAGAAATTCGTTGGCTTCTGAAGACGTGATTTCTGCTTGTGCGTCAGCAGATTACAACTCTGCAGGTGTAGAGGGTTCTTAAATGCTGCTGGATTACTGGTGACGGTCTCAAAGCTACCAAGGTCAAGGAAAATATGAAATGGCTAAATAAAGCCGTTTCCAAAATGCTCATTTACAGTTCATTCATCTTCTAGTATACCAAAACACCACAAAGCAGCAAACACTTTGCTGCTTTTATAAATGAAAAATCAGCCTCCAGTCAAGAAGTCCAGTACTTGTAGCAATTTTTCCAGAGCATGACTTCAGGGAAGTGAATTTTTTTCTATACATGTGTATGTTGGTAAATACAGGGAAAGTCTGTGATATTTTACTGATTTCAGAGAGGAAATTCACCGTGAAGTTTGCAAATGCAGTAACACACAGACGCTTAAAAATAAACATTAAGTAATGTTTAGAGTCCTGTCAGTAGCGGGGTGACTTCTGACCCAAACCATTCTGTGATTCTATGACTTCGCTGGGCCTAGTCTTGCTGTTGGCTGTAGCAGCACTGTCTGTTTCAGGGGGATGTGCAGTCGAGGGTTCTGGGTTCAGGGTCCTGAAGCAGTCGAGCATGCACTTCCGCTGCTGAGGCCAAGAGTGCAGGAGCATTGTGGCTGGGGAAAGGAGATGCCTACCTCCACTGTCCTTGTCCTCCAGCCCCAGCTGGGTATCTGGGACCAAGCCCCAGAAGCCAGGTGAAATACCTCTCTCACTGGATTGCTCTCTGTTTTGAGTAAATGCTCTGCTGCTGAAACAACCATTAAAATTCTCAGAGTAAGCTAGGCAAATCCCCCTGTGGCATCAGTATTCACTGGTTTATGTCATTCTCATCTATTTAACAAAGTACAAAGTTCAAAATTCTCAGGTCTAGGGGTAACACTTGGTATGCAAGTGCAAGGAAAGCGGGTGTATGTGGTGTGTTGTTAGAAAAAAGCGTGGGTTTCATGTTGCTGGAAGTATTTTCACAAACATTTTTCACATTTAACTTTAAGACCCGCATAAAACGGTTAGCGCTGGGGAAGGTGCCTGTCCTCTTCTCGCTTCTCTGGTGCTGTCCCTTCTCGGGTGAGAGGTAGTCAAAACAGTCAAAGATCGGGTGTCCGCGGGTGGGACGCGCAGCCAAGCTGGTATGTGTGTCGGTGTTTATTGCTCGCGGGCTGCCTTGCAAACGGCCTGGCTCTCCCAGGATACCTGTCGGTGGGTATAACCCCCGGTGGGAGTGTGTTGTTGCACACTGTGTGCTACCTCTGCGTCAGAAGACTGCGCCTCGGCTGGTGTGGTGGTGCTGGTCATGGCTGGCGATGCTGGCAGGCTGGAATATAAACCTGGGCCCCTATATGCTTCCATCATGTATTGGATGCTTAAGTGTCATTAATATTTTAGCTCTTGAAATGATACAAGTGGATGAAATTGGAGAGGGTCTGGTTTAAATATCACACCCACCACTGATGCCTTCATCCCTGAGTTCCTGCAGACCCCCATGGTGAGTTTATGTCCCTGTTGGAATTTCAGAGCCCTTACTGAGAGCACCTGGATCTGAGTAATGAATGGATCAATCTGGTCTGTCTGAGGGTCCTGAGTAACCACGATCTGACCACACTCTCTCCAAGGCTGGGTATTGGTCATTCGTACCCCAGGCCAGATCAGACGGCTTGGGAAAAAGGACTTCCTGGGTTTACTGCTGGTCTCTTGGTAGTCCACAGCTGTTGGCTGCATGTGCCTCAAGGCCTGGCTGCTTTGTCATGGCTCGGTACTGTCCTAGTTGCAATATCAAAATTATACCAAAGGAGTTATTTTTTGGCTTACCTTGAATCTCTGAGCACGATACAGCTTCCTTCAACAGCTGTGTCAGAACTAGTACCAGCGGGACTAAACACTGTCTTCCCGCTGCATTCCCACAGTCTCTGTGCAATGCAGGGTGACCAAATCTCTCGTCTAGCTGAGGCCTGGTGACCACTCCCGCTTTTGACATGGGAATTCAGTGCAAGAGCTTGTTATTGTGAATGCCATCTCTGACCGGCTTTGCAAGGGACAAAGTACAGCACTTGGAGAGAGCAAACCTTGGGGATTATGATTATTCCTTAGTACAACAGGGTCTGGAGTGCAGGTTGTCTTCATCTCCAGCTGCCCGCCAGCCCAGGAGCAGGCAAAGGATCCAGGAGGCGAAAGGTGTGTGTGCTGGGCAGAGGAGGACAGCTGGGATGCCACCACCAGCTGCCGATCCAGCGGCAGGGCTCAGGCAGTAATCTTCCCTTTCGAGGCACTGGAAATAGAGACTCAGGAGTCAAAAAAAAAAAAAAGGAGAGCACAGCCCTTTTTCTAAACGCTGAGTCCAAGGGGAGCTAGAAGCGTACATCTCTCTTCTTTTCTGGATGGCTACAAGCTGGTACGGGTAGCTCGCCACCAGTCCTGCTTTTACGCTTGATTCTGCGGTCCTGGAGCACGGCGCACTCACCCTGCGGAGCCTACGGATTGCTTTTGTCACCTCAGAGGTTTTTATTCCATTCCTTCAGCGAGAGGTGAGCAGTGAGTGTATTGAATCGATGTGGATTCGCTTGAATTTCATGGGCCTTGCACTTGCATACTGATAGAGACGGTGGGTGGAAGAAACTGCTCTGCCAGCATGGCCCCTGTGTGCCTCTGGTTACGTGATCATTCAGACTGATTTAAAACAGTATTTTGTTGGTTGCTAAAAAGAGCAAAGAATTTAAAGTGTAAGAGGGTGGAGTAAAAAAGACTTTGCAGAGATACAGCCATAAAAAAAACCTGTTGAGACCTTTGGCATGCGTATCTGGCTTCTCTCGCTCTTGAGCACTGCAGTCTGCGTTTCCTGGAGGGAAAGGTTACGTGGTGATTCCCCCCCCTCCCCCTTGTGTATTCTTACCTGTTCAAAAACCATTTTGAAGACGCATTTTCAATTACGGGTTTTTTATATCCATCTGCTCTTTAAAAAGAGAAAGTGTCCCTATCTGTAATAATTACCATACTTTGCATAGTTAATAAAAGTCTACTTAAAATAATGGGAGAATAGCACTCGGATTAAATTCCCTGGGTCATTTGACTTAACAGTTGCATTTGGCGGGCAGTGGCAAGCATAGTTCTGCCGATGATGAGAATCAGCAAGCTGTTTAAAGGTAATGGATTTCAAAAGTCCATCATAAATAGATCTGTTTTATTACTGTCATCCAGGTAAGAGAGAGTGCCTCGGTAATTTCTCTGGAGATGTCATACTTTATAGTATAATTGAGTGTAACTATACTGCTTGTCCCTCGAGACCGGTACTATTTGTAAGTCTACAGCTGTGTTACATCCAGCCCCGTGATAAAGGGAGGATAGAACAGAAAATAATTTTGGCTCTGCGGAGCCTTGCTGCGGGTCCGCCCGGGCTGTGCTCGGCTGGCTGGAAGCGGAGCGGTTTTGCATCCCGGCAGAATTTTGTCCTCTGTAAGTGCTGGGCTTAGCAGTTACACGGCTGTTGTCCTGTGCCATTGCAGGGCATTATGTATACATACATATATATATACACACACACACATCTCCTGGTGCTGGGACTGAGCAGACATATGTGCTGTGGTCCTCGGTGAACTCTCCGGAGCTGGAGTGCATGGCTGCTTTTACTAAAGAGGGCATAGCAAGCGTTCCTGATTAGGGCAGAGTGCCCCTGTGAGCCTTGTTTCCTTTGTAAAGTGGATTTTAAAGACGGTAGGGATTCTGCTACTGTGTATGTTTCTGTGAGTACCTCATCCCGTGTCGTTAATGTGGAGACAGAGCAGCCTGCACTGAAAAAAAACCACAAAAATGATGGAAAAAAAGGGATCAGTTTATGTGGCAAAAATGGCTGTTTAATTGGATTTCATAGCAAGGTTGGGCTTTTCCACTGATAAAGATGCCACTAGGGTGTATTACAGGATTGTTCCACCATATGTGCGCTGGTGCAAAGGCCTGAAAAACATGCAAGGCTGCTCCTGGAAAAGACACCCAAAAACTGCTTCTGTAAAATATGCAGGAAAAGTCATAGCATCTGCATCTTTTTCACAGCATGGTTAGAGGAGATCCCCAGGCAAATTTAATCAGAGTTTCTGTTTCTAACGTGCATTTTATTAACCCCGTGTTTTATTGTTCAACCTATACATTGATACTGAGTCAGTTTGGGGTTTACATATTCAGAAAGGCAGCTGAATTCCAGCTATTTTCTGTGACGCTTGCAACTACATTCATTACCAAATAAAATGTTAAAAGTCTTTCCATTTGTAGCATCTCAAGGATAATGTGTAAACCACATTAGCTCCAACGCTGAGGAATCTGGCACCCGGTGTAATAAAACACTCGGTTATTTTTGTATTTTATTAACTGCCCCTTCTCTTCAGTTTGCATAATAGTGAGTTAGATTTACATTTGTTAAGACGGCCGTGCATTACTCTTAATAGAAGACACGTCAAACTTCCCGTTGCCGGTACTGCGGCGTGATAAAGTAACCTCATATGATACTGATGAAGATTTCGTTCACACTTGCTGGTTTCATGCAACGTCTTTTTTTCCAGATGGATACCCTATTGTAAAATGATTTCCTGCTTTAGGCTCTGCTTTGTGTAGCTCTCCTCTATGCCATCTTTCTATGAACTGGATAAACTGCCTATTAAATTTAATTACAGCCCGAATGACTGCACATCTTGATCTTATTTTTCCTCCAATGTACTGTATTTCACCAAGGTCCTTGAGGATGAAATAAAATAAATCTGAAGGATGCATACCCCAGTAGCCAAAAGAAATGTTTCAAAGGGCATTACAATGACTGTTAACCCATTAGTTTTGGACCATTTTGAAGGCAATTCTTTAGGCTTAGGATTATAAAGACATTTTCTATCTTTTCTTATGTCATTTAAAAACAAAACGAGAGGAATTTCCCAGAATAAAAATTCAAACAGAAATGGTCAAGTTAATTTCTTATCCCTTAAGAAGAAGGGGAAGAGCATCTATGCACCTTCAAACTGTTCAGCATGGTTAGCATTTATTTTTTGCAGTAAGGGCCTAATATAAATATTACTGTCTCGAATCACGTGAGGGTGTATGTCGGGCTGGCGGCACCCTTGGGACCCCTCGGGCCTTTCCCCTTTGTGAGCACAACGGTGGTGTCTGCGAAGGCAGCCCCGGAAGGGGTGACAGAGCATCACAACCAAGCGGAGCTCGTCCCACGTCCCCCCATCGACCTCCTCAGACCCTGTGTCCTTCCTGCGACCCAAGGAAAGCTGACGGCTTCAAAGGTTTCCAAGGAGGTGGACGTCCCTCCATCCACAGCGGTGGTGGAAGGGTCACTGGAGACGTTTCCCCCGTTCCTTCCTGGATGCCTTTCGATGGGTGTTTATCTGCCACGTCTGTTAGACTTTTAGGTTGAGGTTCCTCTCGTTTAACTCCAGTTTTAAAGTTAATTCAACGTTTTGACTTCAGGCAGCTAAGGCTAAGGCAGCTGATGCCACCGGCTTCCTCTGCAGTGGGGAGAGAGCCGCCACCTGCGGGGACCGTCCCTGACCTGCCCTAAGTACCTATTGGGAGTGGGTGGGCCTTTTTTTGAAGATACCTGTCTCTCACTTGGTTAGTCAACAAGTTCAGATGAGATGTGGAAAAGAGGAACTCTGCCTTTGGTTTTCTGTGATTGCAGCTTAGCACCTTTTGCCAGTTCATTACCAACATAATTTTTACAGGTAAAATCCCTCTTGCAGCGAGGAGGAGGTGGCTGCGGGCAGCCGCAACGCACGCTACACTTGGTGGCTTATGAAATAGCGTGGTGGGAGGACACAACTGTCATGCTGGCTGCATCCTAAACAGCATTGGGTCAAATGCTGGCAAAATGGGAACATGCTGTACGCTAGAGCAGGAGGAGGGCAGCTTCGAGTATTTCGGAGCTCTGTCACTGCATGTTTCTTGCCACCCCACGGGAAGCAGCGGTGGGCTGGAAGCGACTCACCAGCTCTCCCTGCGACACCATCTTTTGTTGGGCTGGCATCCAGTAGATCACGGCAACTTTTGCATCACCCGGTTCTTGGCTGACATGTTTGACTCTTTCAGGGGTTAAGTGGTTATTCTGAATGTATGAAAACACGAGTTTAATCCCAAACTTAACACAGGTTTGCTATGCATCCTAGCAAATTACGGACTTTTTGATTAAGATAGGTGAATATATGGAAACAGTCTCTGAAACATGCAGCTGGAATGGCCTTGTAACACTTCAAACAGCAGAGTATATGTTGGATCCACAACATCATCCCATCAAATGGGCACGTAGCATTCACGAGCACGCATAGGGTTCTTCTTAACGTTGTGTGAAGAAATGCTCTTTAATTCATGGGAGACTGTAGCTTGAGAAAACTGTAAAACTCTTGCAGAGCCACAGAGAAGATAAATTAAGTAGAACTAATTTGTTAAGACCCTAAGTATGTGAAACTGTGTTCCAAATATTGTGCTGCTTTTTCCAGATGAGGACCCGATATTCTTGTTCCACTGCTCATTTATGTTTTCTGGGTACAACTGTAAAAAGTGTCTCTCAATGCACTTATTATATAACGGCAAGGAAGACTGATGATAGTGGCATTTGGAAACGCTTAAGTTCATTTGTGTTCCTCGTTCAGATGGCCTCTGCAATCCTAAGTAACAGAGAAATATCCAAGGAATTTTCAAGCAATTAATCCGAGTTTAAAACCAGCATCATCCCAGGAGCAAGCAGCAGAAAATGCCTGGAATGTTAATAGAAAGTACTTCTGGAAGGAATACCCGGTTGTTGTTTTTTTCCCTTGAAAACCTTTGACTGAAAGGGACGTTGTTGATTTATGGTGCCTTCTGTCTGTCTTTCCAGAACTCCAGTGCGGATCATCGGGTTCGACTGGACCTCGGGCTTTGGGACAAATTCAGCGAACTTGCAACAAAGTGCATTATTAAAATAGTGGAATTTGCAAAGCGGTTGCCAGGCTTCACAAGTTTGACCATTGCAGACCAGATAACTCTACTTAAAGCAGCTTGCCTGGATATACTGGTATGTATTTTTGACATCGTCCTTATTTTTCTATCGCTCTTCTTAACTGTGATCGACGGGGAGAGGGGGTCATGTGTTGTCCCGGCCTTAGGGCTGCAAAACTGAGCTTACCAGGTCGTCTGGTGCGGTCAGGAGTAGACTCCAGCACCTCCACGGCCGTGTGCTGTAGGGGTTGAACATACTTTTCAAAACAATTCCTTACCGTCTGTGGCTTTCTGTGTAGTTGCGAGAAGGGCACGTTTGGCTCCTGCGGCACTAACGTAAAACATGTGCAACGTTGGAAAAATTTCCTTCTTGCTAATCCTGAAGAGAGAGCCACATCGCTTTCCACCCTCCTCCCCCCTCAACAGAATGCGCTGTGCCAAGGATCCCTGGGGGGCTCGCTGTGTAGTGCTTCAGGAGCGTGTGGTACCTGTGGTCAAGAGGGGATTGGAGGAGCAAGATGCAGATCTTGGGAGTGAGGATTTTGCAGGTTACAGCGGGGAACTGGGTGTGCCTGGAGCCCGGCAGGCGCCAGCCTCCGGCACATGGAGCCCCTTGCCTCGGCTGGCGCTGCAGGCGCCTGTGGAAGTGGGCTGGGTAACGCACCCCGTACAGGTTTTAGCTAAATGTCTTTGGATTTTCAACAGGTGAACGCACAACCTGCAGCAGGGAACTGCCTGTGGGCTTGGAGTTTTTCTCCAGACCTTGCCACTGTGTCGAGGCAAGCTGCCTTCCCCCTCTTTGTCTCCGGTTGTTTCTGTCACGCTGACCTTCAGAGGAGCCCTCTGGGATCTCAGCATTTCTTTATCGAGACCTTAGAGGGCTTCAGGCTTTTAGTGGCAAATACGCTTCTTATTCTTGGTTGTAATGGTAACTCCCAGTAACACAGTTCATATTTTCATCGTGGTTTAGATATTTTAAATGTTTTCTTCTGGGCACAAACATTCAGGTCTTCACTGAGCCCAGCATGGCTAAGGAACCCGTTGTAGATGCCTACTGTAGATGCGTTTTTTTGGCATGAGACAGGATTTTAAACTAGGGAAATTGCAGTTGAAGTAATTAATCTTGCTCCAAACAGGATCATGTTGAGGAGGACGTTAACTGCTGTGACCTTTTGTTCTTGTCTGGTCCAGAGCTGTTCTGAAGAATTGCATCTAAAGGACATTGATGAAGGAGGAAGGGTGGGAGAGGGGAAGGGATATTGTTCTTCGGCCTATAAAAAGGGAAGGTTGAGGTTTGTCTGGTTCTTGAGAGTCACCACTCATCGTCCCCTTCGTCCCCGCACTCATTCGGACGGGGCCATCGCATCGTTACGGTGTGTGGTCCCTCCGTGGGGCAGGGCCATTCGTTACCGATTGCACGGCTGTCATCGCCAGCTCTGCCCCCATCAGACACAGCTTTCCTGACAACGAAAGGCGTGCAGTAATCGATAATCTGTGCCGTTGTCTGGAGTGCGTTCTGCCAGAGGAATGGGATGGGAGCTGCCTCCTGCTTTCCTGTTGTATCCAGTTACAAATGGGTAATATAGAAACTACCCAAAAATGGTGGGGAGGAGTCAGGATAGAGCAAGAACCTGCACATCCAAGCTCTTCACCCCTAAATCTTCAGCCCTTAGGCTGCCATCCCTCATTTGGAGCTGCCATGCCCTGGCTCCATAGCTGCTGGAAAAATGACATACCCTAATTCTGCAATTCCTCAGAATCCCGCGAGTTGCTGTGGCTCTGTTTTGGGAGGGTAGTCGGAGCATGCACGGCTCCTCTGGCACAGGGTCCTCCTGGCAGCTCCACTCACCTCTTGCGTCGCCAGTGCCGGCTGAACGGTACCAAGCGTTTAGGGGTAGCCTTTCTGCTGGCGGCTGGATCTGAAGTGCCTAGATAGAGGTACTCCGCAGCCTTTGATCCAAGTGACTAAACAAAAGCCTAGTTGCCAGATCAGAGGAAGGATAATGAAGCAGGTGGCAAATGGTGGCTTGATTTCAACTAATTAAGAGATGGAAAGGGTTGATCTTAAATACAATTCTTTGTGGCCATGTGGCAACCTTCAAGCTCTACTTTACTGAGAGCTGTCACTCCCCATCATCTCCTCATTCCCTTGTTTGTTTGTCACGAGGCAGGAGAAGGTGACGCACCCAAGCCGGCGGGGTGTAGCGAGTGCCACCCCTTGTAGCCGGGGGCAGCTGAGGCTTTTCCAAAAACTGGAGCAGATAAGACACGGCTGCTACAGAGAGCCCCAACGCTCCCGCGCAACGGTTGCACAAGCTTTGCGTGAATATTTTATGTGCTGCTTAAAAAGAAAAAGGGGTAATTGCCAGGGGCACAGGGAGGTGTGGCACACACGCTGCCTGGGAAAGGCCCACAGCCAGGAAACCCGCATCGCCTGCGCGGGATGGGAATTGCCCTGCGGCGCTCTGTCTTTACTTCAGCTGGACTTCAGCGCTCGGGGCGGTGCTCTGACCGGGACTATTTCCCCCTCCCAGCAAGCTGCTTCTCCTAACTGTGTTCTCAACGCGGGTTTTTCATTGTGTGTTGGGACACGGGGTGTGCACTGTCGCCCTCCTGCCACATAAGCACCCGCTGCCCACATCTGCTGTGCAGCCCCGGGACGCGGCGGCAGAGCTGCGGCACACGGCAGGGGTGGCAGGGAACTGTGGGGAGAAGCCTTGGGCATTTACAGAGCCTGCCCAGGGCTCTGCTCGCTTGGTTGCTGTGGCTGTGGGTGCTTAAACCCCACGTAACCAGGCTGACGAAGGAAAGGGTGCTGGGAGCTCAGTAAACTGCCGGGTGTGGGCCAAAGGGTTGTTTTCTGTACAAACAAACAGACTCCGTGGAAGGGAAGTACCACTGAGCCTGGCAAGGCAGCTGAAGGTGCCGGTTGAGGATGGCAAAACTTATATCCGCTCTGGTGCCAAAAGTTTCAGGGTGGATAGTACTAAAATTCAGCCAGCAGCCCTCGTAACAGCGAGTGCTTCGGTCTGCTGGTGCGCTGGCCCAGCCGAGCATCCTCACCGAGCTCTGGCAGAGTGAGTGCGGGAAGAGCCCAGAGTCCAGCCTGACTTAAATCTGATGGATAAAGACCTGAGAAGTCCTTGGACACTAATCCTTAGGAATGTCATTTCTGCTTTCTGTTGTAAAACCCCGCGCGTTAGTGCTCGGGAGGCACTTGTGTGTGCGCAACACCCCGTGCTTGTGGGGCACGGCAGCGCCGGGGAGGTTCGTTCTGTGTTTCGGAGTCGCTTGCCTGGGTTTTTCCCCTCAGGAAGCTGTCCCAGCCAGCTAAGGCAGGTAGTGTCTAACAACAGGGTCTCCTAAAAAAGAGCCCAGCTTGCCTTAACTCATCTGTTTAAAATGAGTAACAATTCCCTGGTAGCAACGGTTTTGTAAATGCAACTTTGTGGATGGTTTTGTGCAGCCCGTAGGGTTTTGGCTTTGCACTTTGCAACTGGCTCATAGGAACCCCAGATGCTTTAAGATATAAATATTCCTTAAAACAAAAGGTCCTTTAATCACGGGCGAGAACCTTATTTATGGCTGCAAGTGGCACTTAAGAGCAGAGTGACAACTAGACTACTTGGCCTGGTTACAAAAGCTAAACAACGCTGAGGACATTAGGAGGATGTCTTCTAGACAGCGACTCGGTTTAAAACGGGGAGAGATACCGTGGTTTCTTATTTTGAAGCGCTGACATTTCCCATATGTTCTTCGGTGAATGTGAACTTGAAATCAGCTTCGCTCTGACGCTGGAAGTTTGCCCAAGAAAGGTTTAGCAGCGAATCAGCAATATCCGTGGCGTTTCATGGATCTTGATGAAGGACACAAATTTAAAAAAAAAAAAAAGGACCCACACCAAAACCATTTCAAATGATCTGTCTCGGAGTTTAATAACAGCGTGCTGTGGGATAATGTCGAAGGAATGCAGGAGAAACCCGAGACCCGATGGCTGCCGTCAGGCCGAGACCTGCGTTGCAGGAGCTTCAGCTGTGCCAGTGCCCGGCAGAGCCGCCGTGGGCTCCCCCGGCTGACAGCCACCGCCACGCTATGCGTGCCCATGGGGGCTCCGGGCTAAGTAACCTCCTCCCAGGTTCATTCCCAGTGAGGATCTAGCTTGGAAACCTTCCTCTGCGTTAGCCCTTGGAGCAGTGATCTGGTAGGTCTTTGCCGAGCAGCCCTAGCACGTGCCCCAAAGGGAGTGGGGCGTAGAGCGGCGGGGGTGAACAGAGGAGGATGCGGAGGAACCGTTTCCATTGCCACTGCTCGGGCAGCTGCTGGGAAGGCTGCAGGCAGGCTGTGGGAAACACCACGGCGCTGCCCAATTTAGCTCCGAGTCCTGCTCCGCTGATGTGTTGGGCTGGGAGTCCTGAGGGTGGGGAGGGAGGAACTCCTGTTGCTAAAGCTTAGCAGCTGACGTAGCAGCGGAATGAAAGGGGCTGCCTTTCTCCCTGGCTGAGCTGAGGGGGAGTCAGTGCCACCTAAGAAGTACGGCGCCTCGATCCTCCGGGAGCGGGATACCTGACATCACGGCCACACGCCCGTACTGGAAGGCAGCTGCTGCGTGTGCAGGCTTCCGGTGGGAAGAGTCGCACGCCAGCTTCCCCTGCGTGCCAGTAGAGAAGGCAACCAGGGAGCTCTTGTGTTTCTCAGTGAACAGGCAAAGTTTTCAAACCCTGCTTTTCTGGAAAACAACAAACTCTACACATTTTTTCTCCCTTCTATACTGCCCTGTTCATCATTTAAAATCCTTCTCGTGATAACCAAGGGCGAACTTAAGGGGGGAGAACTGCCGGTGGTTATTGGCGTCGCAGACTATGGTCAGCATGCTGCCTCTTCCTGAGAGGCTGCGACGCTTTGTGGTGTCGATTTCTGCTGATCACCCTGAAATGCACCTTGGCTGTGACACCAAACCTTCGGAGTTACCAGCAGCCGTGTAGGTTCATGTGTATTAGCGGGGAGCTGCGGTCAGTGAAGAATTTGAGTGCCGTGCGTTTGCGTTCGTGCCTCTCTTGGTCATTGATTCAAGTAGTTTCAGGAGCTTATTCTGATTCAGGGGTAGGGGAACAAAGCAAAACATGCCTGTCAACCGCATAGAGCCTCAGTGCTTCAGTGTGTCCCCACACTGTGAGGTAAGATCATTGCTGAGAGAGAAGAGAGTTGAAGAGCCTTCTGCAGAAATATACCCTATTAAGTCTCTTACG